ATGAGGATAGATAAGTCCCCTGGGCCACACGGGATATACCCAAGGTTACTACGGGAAGTGAGGGAAGAGATTGCTGCCCCTTTGGCGAAGATCTTTGCATCCTCACTCTCCACTGGAGTAGTACCAGAAGATTGGAGGGTGGCAAATGTCATTCCCTTGTTCAAGAAAGGGAATAGGGATAATCCTGGGAATTACAGACGGTTAGTCTTACTTCTGTGGTTGGCAAATTATTGGAGAGGATTCCGAGAGACAGCACAGTTTGATGAGAAATAGTCAGCATGGCTTTGAGAGGGGCAGGTCATGCCTCACAAGGTTTATTGAATTCTTTCAGGACATGACAAAACACATTGATGAAGGTAGAGCAGTGGATGTGGTGTTTATGGATCTTAGCAAGGCATTTGATAAGGCTCCACATGATAGGCTCATTCAGAAAGTAAGGAGGCATGGGATTCAGGGAAATTTAGCTGTCTGGATACAGAATTGGCTCTCCAATGGAAGATAGTGGGTGGTAGTAGATGGAAAGTATTCAGCCTGGAGCTCGGTGACCAGTGGTGTTCCGCAGGGATCTGTTCTGGGGTCTCTGCTCTTCGTGATCTTTATAAGTGACTTGGATGAGGAAGTGGAAGGGTAGGTTAGTAAGTTTGCCGATGATACGAAGGTTGGTGGAGTTGTGGACAGCGTGGAGGGCTGTTGTAGGTTGCAACAAGACATTGACAGGATGCAGAGCTGGGCAAAGAAGTGTCAGATGGGATTCAACCCAGAAAAGTGTGAAGTGATTCATTTTCGAAGGTCAAATTTGAATGCAGAATACAGGGTTAATGGCAGGGTCCTCAGCAGTATGGAGGAACAGAGGGATCTTGGGGTCCACGTCCATAGATCCCTCAAAGTTGCTACCCAAGTTGATAGGGTTGTAAAGAAGGCGTATGGTGTGTTGGCTTTCTTTGGCAGGAGAATTGAGTTTAAGAGCAGTGAGGTTATGCTGCAGCTCTATAAAACCATGGTTAGGCCACACTTGGAATATGGTGTTCAGTTCTGGTCGCCTCATTATAAGATGGATGTGGAAGGTTTAGAGACCGTGCAGAGGAGATTTACCAGGATGCTGCCTGGATTGGAGGGCAGGTCTTATGAGGAAAGGTTGAGAGAGCTAGGGCTTTTCTCACTGGTGCAAAGAAGGATGAGAGGTGACTTGATAGAGGTGTACAAGGTGTTGAGAGGCATAGATGGAGTGGATAGCCAGAGAATTTTTCCCAGGGTGGAAATGACTATTACGAGGGGGTATAATTTTAAGGTGATTGGAGGAAGGTATAGGGGAGATGTCAGAGGTAGGTTCTTCACAGAGAGTGGTGGGCATGTGGAATGCACTGTCGACAGTGGTAGTGGAGTCAGATGCATTAGGACATTTAAGTGACTCTTGGTTAGGCACAGGGAGGATAGTAAAATGTAGGGTAAGCAGCGTAGTTTGATCTTAGAGTAGGATAATAGGTCGGCACAGCATCGTGAAACAAAGGGTCTGTATTATGCTGTACTGTTCTACGTTTTATGTTCTATGTTCTGTGGTGGCAGATGAAGTGGAATTTCTTCTCTCAAAGGGTCACGAATCTGTGGAATTCGCAATCCCAAAGTGCGGTGAGACTTTGAGTTAATTTAAGGAAGTGACAGACGAATTGTTAATTGGCAATGGGTCAAGGGGTTGTGGACAGTGACCAGGAAGTGGAGTCTGAGCCATGATAGTATTGAATGGTGAGGCAGGCCCACGGGACTAGATGTCTTCCTCTTGCTTCTCGATCTAAAGTGCTTATGTATGAGCACCTTGAAAACACCTTGTGACGTTTTGAGAGGCACTTGTGTGTAAATGCACCCTCTGAGTGAGGAAATTCCTCCTTATCTCTAAAAACGCTGGAGCCAGCCTCCCGAGTCTGTTTGCCCCCTCTGTCCCAGATTCCCCAGTCGGGGGAAAGCAGGATCCCAACAATGACCTGGTCATAACCATTCAGAAATGTTTTATGGCTAGTCCATTGTGTTACAGCGAAGGTGTTCACGAAATCATTTGTTTGTTGCTTCCCTGGAGATGTGGCACTGAGAGGGATAAGGGCTAGGAGCAGGCAGGTGGGACAAGTTTAGTTTGGGATTAGGGTCGGCCTGGACTTGTTGGAACAAAGGGTCTGTTTCAGTGCCGTAGGACTCTATGACATACTGTCCCGATTAATGCAAGATGCATAACTTCAACACTATGTTTCCTTTTTCAGCAACACTCCAAATGGTTTAATGTAACTCCCTTTCACAGAACCATGTCAACTCTGCCTGATTCTATCTCCTGCTGTAACTTTCTCTCTCACGGACTCTTGCAAATTCCCTTTGATAAATGTTATGTCAGCTGGCCTGTCCTCTTGTGCTTTTAATATTTAAATATCATTTATCCTTTATATAAATATGTACACTGTAGTTCCTCTTTCCAACTAATTATATCTGATCTCAGTTCCCTTTCATCACACAAGGCTTGGCTCGATTCCAGCTCCCCACCTTTACCAACCCCTTTCTCTTCAAACGCAACACCAACAGGTCGCGATCACAGCTCTCTCACCTTCCCCCCAACCCCGACACGGTCTGGAACCCACTGCTTCAGAGCTTGGTTGGTGCAGATTCAACAACTTGCAAACGGGAAAAAAAGACTGAGGAGGGGCGAAACCTGCGGGGCTCAGAACTGAGGGCAAAAGGAGTGGGACCAACTGGATGGCACCCCCCTCCCAAACCCCAAAAAGGGCCAGCACAGACGCGATGGGTCTCTGTTTGAGTTCCACGATTCTCTTGGCTGTCCTGATACAGTAGACAGGACATACAATGACCCACACTTTCACTTCCCTGGTTAGCTAAAAGGGCACAGGGTGTCGGGGTGAATGGGTTACTTTCAGGTTGGCAAGCCGAGACCAGTTCAGTGGCACAGACATCAGCGCTGGGGCCTCAATTATTTCTAACCTATTCTCATCAGGGAAGGCTCCCTGCTTGGTGTGTATTATACGAAGAAGTTGAGTGGGTTTATTGGATTTGATTTGTAATTGTCATACGTCCCGAGGCACAGTGAAAACTTCTGTTTTGCGAGCAGTACAGGCGGATCGTAACATACGAAAACCACAGGGTGAACAGACCGAGGAATACAGCTGCAGAGAGGTTGCACAGAAGGCGAGATCAACACTAGATTTGAAATTTGAGAAGTCCAGTCTAATAACAGCGGGGAAGAAGCTGGGACCTGTTTCGCTACGTGTGTTTAAGCTTTGGTGTCTTCTGCCTAACGGAAGAGGTTGGAAGAGATGATCACCGAGGTGAGAGGGGTCTTTGATGATGTCGGTCGCCTTCCCGAAGCAGCGAGAAGTGTAGATTGAGTCAACGGATGGAAGGTTGGCTTGTGTGATGGACTGGGCCGTGTTCACAACTCTCTGCAGTTTCTTATGGCAGAGCAGTTGTCTACCAAGCTGTGATGGACTCAGATAGAATGCTTTCTATGGCGCATCTGTGTAAAACTTGGTGAGATTGAGCCGGTACTCATTGGAGTTTGGAACAAGAGGTGACCTTGTTGAAACGTACGAGATTCTTGGAGGGTTTGATAGGGTAGATGCAGAGAGCTTGTAAGACCACCAGGAGTAATCTCAGAATAAGGGGTCACCCATGTAGTACAGACATGAGGAGGAATTTCTTCTCTCAGAGGGGAGTGAATCTGTTCAATTCTTTGCCACAGAGGGCTCTCGAGGCTGGGTCATTCAGTATATTCGAGGCTGGGTCATTCAGTATATTCCAGGCTGAGATAGACAGATTTTTAAATCAGAAAGGGAACCAAGGATTACGAGCTAAAGGTAGGAATCATAGAATCCTTACATAGAATCCCTACAGTATGGAAACAGACCCTTCAACCCAACAAGTCCACACTGACCCTCAGAGCATCCTACCGAGACCCATTCCTCTGTAACCCACCTAATCTACACATCCCTGAACACTACTGGCAATTTAGCATGGCCAATCCACCTAACCTGCACATCTTTGGACTGTGGGAGGAAACCGGAGCACCCAGAGGAAACCCACGCAGACACGGGGAAAATGTGCAAACTCCAATGTGTGAACCCGGGTCCCTGGTGCTGTGAGGCAGCACTGCTAACCACTGGGCCACCGTGCCGCCCCATAGGAAAGTGATGACCTCAGTAAGTGCTGTAGCAGACCTGAGGGGCTTGTATCAACAAGCTGGGTGAAGAGATTGAATGCACGATTGCTAAATTTGCAGAAGATAGGCGAGAGAGAGTCAGTCGCCAAGAGGAGGCTGGGAGTCTGAAAAGGATGACAGACAGGTCACAGGGATACGAGGTTGAGTGAGCTTCCGAGCGAGCGAGCAAAAACATTGGGCAGATGGAGTGCAACGTGGGAAAGTGTGAGCTGGTGAAGTCTGGCAGGGAGACTAGAAACACCAGCATAGTGTTCCAACGGTGAGCGATTGCAGAGCTTGGAGATAAAGTGGGATCAGGTGAATCACAAAATGTTGGGATGCACCTGCAGCAAGTGAGTTGGAAGGAAAATTGAATAATCGTTGATATTGCAACAGCAATGGAAAGTACATGTAGGTATGCTTTGTCACAGTTGCATAGCGCACAACTGGAGTACCATAGACTGCTTTTACCTCCGTATTTTAAAAGAAGGATAGAACAACACCAGAATTAGTTTCGAGAAAGGTTCACTTGACCCATTCTTGGGATATCGAATGGGCAAGGGCAGAGATTTGGTAACCAGGCCCATAGTCACAGGAGTCGAAAGAATGAAGGACAGTGCTGTGGAAACAAATGAAATCTTGAGGGGATTTGACAGGGTGGACAGTAAAAGGACATTCCCCTGGCCAGCGAGGATACAAAGCTTAAAAATACGGGGAGGAGGGGTCACAGGTAAATTTAACTGAGCTCAGTCTCACTGCTAACCCACACTCAGCCCTCACGGGAATATTTTGTCCAGTGTTCTACCACAGACAAACGACACCCAATATGATGCCACTGGTAAGTATCACAGGGCATCGCATTGTTAAATACAGCCAAAATTGCTGATAAACCACACCTCACAGATAAACTACACCCAGGTACATATGTGACACCACACAGAGAGAAATTTGTGATGGCCCGGAAATCAGCCATCCAGGTGTCCATGAAATTTCAACCTGGATTCACAGGAAATTGACAACCAGTTTCACTGGGACATAACATTCAGCACCCCCGTGGGAGATCACTCCCCCGGCGCCCCCCCCATGGGAGAATCATTTCCCTGGCCCACCCCACCCCGGGGGAGACTCTCTCCCCTGCCCCCCCCCCCCCCCCGTGGGAGAATCACTCCCCCGCACCCCCAACAGGCAAATCACTCCCCTGACCCCACAGGCAAAGCAACCTGTGCCTCTCGGGTTAAGTACTCTGAACCTCACAGGCCGGTTACACACCACCGCCCTCCCCCAACAAGGGCAGTGTCACTGCCAGGCCACCACCCCTACCCACCCCTCCAACCCAAAAGGAGGTGTCAGCGATAAATTACATTCCAACCAGACAGGTAAGTCACAGGTTGATGTAGCCCGTCTTCCACCTGAGGGAACGCACAGCAAGATGGTCTGACACACAAGGAGTTCAGCGAAAGAAAGTTTACTCACGTGGCCTCCTCGACCTTGGGTAACAGCTGTTCCGCCAACATCCTCTCTTTCATTTCGTAGGCCGCTGGGTCCATCTGGCGTTCGCAATCGAGTTCGGACAATTCCTTTTCTCCGATGGTCATCCCCATCATCCGCTTGTTCCTAATTCAAAAGGCCGAGAGTTAGTCTCCAGCTCAGGCAGAGCTATCAGGAACTGCAATTTCCTCATCCTGCTACGGGGCTCCAGCGAAGGCTTCCAATGTAAAGCAACTCACCCTTTACTCGCTTAAGCTCGAAGTAAAGCTCCCTCTACTGTCCTCCATCAAACACTCCCAGGACAGGTACAGCACGGGGTTAGATACAGAGTAAAGCTCCCTCTACTGTCCTCCATCAAACACTCCCAGG